AAGGTAGGTGAACGTTGTTCGTTAAGTCTAGGGTTACGTCTAGGAAGTTTACTCTTTTTAATTTAGTGTTGACTATTGTTTTTAAATTTAGTTTCCCGAATTCTTTATAAATTATCTTTCTAATTTTCTCTGTTTTAAAAATTGTGGAGCTCCTCACTACCATGAGCCCGTCATCTCTGTATAGCCCGATGTCCCCAACGTCTAGTTCACGGTGGGCGGTTAGATTGTACTGTATAAATATACCGACAAGGTCCGAAGATTCTGCAGAGTCTAGAGATCCCATGGTGATGTCAAAGTTGTCATTGGTGTTTTTAATCCACTGGTCCCCATTATGGATGAAGACAGATTTCTTTGCACTGAAAATTATGTTTGTTTCTTTCTTAGTTAAGTCAGAATATACTGTAGCAAACTCCAGGGCAGTTGTGAAGAGGTCTTTTGATATTGACTGGTAGTAATCGACAATATCGAACTGAATTAGGGTGCAGTCGGGCTTATTGTCGATGTTGGTAAACCAGTTTATGACTACTTTGGTGTTAATCCAGAGTGTTAATCCAAGGTGTTTTTTAATTTGGCTAGTGATCCTTTCCAGGATTTTTTGCTTATCTTTCCTATGTCGGGTCTAGTAGGTTTATCATTCTGGTAGTGGGATCTCCCTCAAAACCCTGTCTGTGGTCCTTAAGAGTGATGTAGCACTCCTTTTCGCCCACTTTGCCAACTCTATCACTTATTTTTAATTTTTCAGTAATCACTTTACTAGTTCTATTGATACTGTCAACCATATTTATATTGTTATTCTGGGCTTTTTTTATAAGTCTTTTATGTAGCGAAGGAATCATATCTTTAAACAAAAAATATTATTATAATAAAGCTCTACTTCTGTATGGAGCACTGTCTTCTTAAAAATAAAAACAAAAATTCTAAGGAACTCCGGATTATGCACCCAACGTGTTCTTTTCTATTTTCTGCATACCTGCGCACATATATATATATATATATATATATATATATATATATATATATATATATATATATATATGTGTGTATAAAATTCCTAAAATGAACAGTTGAAATGTTTTTAACTTGCACAATTAGATATATACATTCATAGAAAATTTAGCCCCTGAAGATGAGATTGAAAGTACTTGGGGAAAATAAAAAACTATTTGAAAGAAAATTTTGGTATATTCCTTAATCAATTTTCTAAGACTACTAAGAAATTAATCCACGAACTTGAAAGGGTCACAACCAAAACAATTCGACATAATACGTCTAAATTATTTAACCAATATATATATATATATATATATATATATATATATATATATATATATATATATATATATATATTCGCTTGTTTTTCTGGTGTTCTGCGAATGATATCCAAGAACAATGTTTTGTAGCACTATTTACCAATTGCCTGCGAGTAAACTGGCAGCAGTGGAAGAGCACTGGAGTTCATTGTTTGTTTTTCAATGCGTGTGGCCAACATGCGCCGTGTTTCGGGACCTTATCCATTGAATGAAGATTACTCACGATAGTAATACGAGTTTGCTATCTTCTGTACAAATTCCAATGTAGTCTGGCGCGGTTCTTTTTAAATCAATGCGTGCAATTGGTTGTAATGAAAATGAACAGGTCGGCCAAAAAAAAAAAACAGAGAGTCAAAGATTTCGAACTTCCCCTCCTTAAAACTGGAAACCATTTCTGTGCCATTTTGCAATATTTATCCATACTGGAGTAAGATTAAAAATCGACGTACTAATAAACATCGTTCTTCTTCTTCTTCTTCTTCTTTTCTTCTTCTTCTTCTTCTATATATATATATATATATATATATATATATATATATATAGTTTATGAAAAATTAGTTAATCCGTATGGGTAAACCTAAGGAGGATAAAATCCAGAGAGCTCAATGTAAAGCCAGAGCAAATGATTTAATTAAAACAGACTACTTTAAGGTTCCATGTAATAAATCATTTCACCACAGCCCTTTTAAAAGGACTGCGGATCATCAGACTTTAATTCCAAACAAAAAATGAAAAAGGGCTCTGGTGAAATAATTTATTACATGGAACCTTAAAGTGGTCTGTTTTTATTTAAATTATATATATATATATATATATATATATATATATATATATATATACACTCACACACACACACACATATATATATATATACACACACACAAATATATATATACATGCAATTACTTCAGATTAACAAATAGATGCGGAGAGCCTTACTATGTGGAAGGATTTAAATGGTAGTCAGTATTTCTTTATCATCTGTCTATATTTCTGAGATGAGGTATTGTAACTATTTACATTGTTCGGAATGTTGTTCGCATCTTTATTGTCATATTCACGACGTTTCGGCCTTCTTCAGTTGATATACGTTAGAATTTCGAACCCTTTACTTCGTCCATTAAGGTAAATTCTTATAGTTTCCCGTGCCATGCCTTTTCTGAATATCTCGGTTTTCAGTTATTTCCCTTTTAGTAACTAATTTTTTTCCTTTTTAGTGACGTAACTTAACTCTCCAAGTTTTTAAATGTCCTGGGATTGAACCCCCAACTCTTTGGGTCAAATCATTGAATTACTCCAACTAACGCTTTCATCCACTAGGCTATGTGCCCGAACAATGTAAATAGCGTTTCTTCACGCGTGTCCGTGTGACTACAACGACATTGTTATCAGCCCGTGCATTAAAGCTCTCTTTCCAGCGAACAACAGCCGATCATTGGCAAACGCTCTGTTCGTGTTGATTAGATACCCCCATTTTCTGATGCTGTCGCCGACCAAAAATCTGATCTGACGCCATGAAAAGACAACCCAAGAGAATTACCTTTTCACACTCGGTTTCTCCGAATAAAAACATGGTACCCAGAATCTTCCAAAAGACGTACCGTTTTGGAAGACAATTTTTAAGTGATGGCATTCACTTTAACCTTCGTAACATTTCAGAGAATATCCACATGCATTCTTCTTCTTCTTTTATGCACCGTGCTCTCCAGGAAGTAGGTGAACCTGGCTCTCCACAGCTTCCTGTTATTTGTAGCTCTAAGCAATATTTTTCACTTGAACATCTCTCTCCATACCTGCAGTGTCATGAACGTACATAAAATCGCTTTTACCATTTGCCTCTCTTATTTTCACTATATCCACTGAGTGTTGAATTCTTGAAGAACTCTTTCTTCATTATATGTCCTAGTGATTTCAACTCTGTTTTTCCGTGTCAACCCTTTACTAGTTATTTAAATCCAGTAAATAGTTTTAGATTGTAAGAATTTTAGGGGGGGGATAATAATGATTTATTGATACAAGTCATCCTAATTCACCCATATCCCGAGAGCGAGAAGAATATTTACACATAAGTGAATATAACGAACATAACGGGAATTCGAACTCGGCTCTCCGATTAACAATTCCGTGCCTCCACCGTGCCTCCCTATTGTGGGAGGCACGGTGGAGTAATGGATAGCGGCTTGGATTGAGGAATCGTAGAGCCGAGTTCGAATTCCAGTCGAATCCATTACATTCACTTACGTGCTAACACCCTTGTGAATCCTCTTTCTTCTCCCTCCAGCTATGGGTAAATAGCAGGACAGACTGGGTTCTATAGCCTTGGATGGCAACTGGTCTAGGAGAAGGAAAACTCTGAATTCAAACCTGCTCTTAGAGGAGGGTGAATGGAGTCTCTCTGAGCCTTGGTTGGCATTCCATTTAGTGATGGTGTCACGATAAAAAACACTATTCAGCTATTTGACAAGATTATGAACTACACCAATCAAAGAATTGGTGAGTTCAATCTCGGCTGAGGCCGCAAGATGATGATGATGAACAATTCCGACCTGTTATCCATTACACCATCCGCACACCCAAACATACAGTACCTGGTTTTTCAAAGCGTTCACTAGATACTGACCAGGTATGACGTTGTTTAACTTCAGTGATCGTCTGGGAACCGGCGATATGGCCGTACATGAGATGGAGATCGGCATTGTGAGATAGATTTGATGCTTATTGAATTTCCACAAAAAGGACATTAAATTAGAGACGTATAAGAATAAAGCAATATATTCTCATGGATTAAATAAATGTTATTTTCCGACATTTTCAAAAGCTTATCGAAAGCAGCAGACATATGAATGGCGGTTACAGCAGCGGAAACGGTGTGACAACTAAAGAAAAAACATGGTTGCTGAAGAGCGAGTGTATAATTAATTTCCCCCATTTATTTAAAACTCATTAGCTCATCAGTTTTGCTTAAAATGCCAACTGGCGCTGAACTCTTCGAACAATTAAACAGAGGTAGCGGGCAATTTAAAATTAGTGTGATTGAAATAATCTCTTTTATAAATTAGTTGAATGAGATAGAGTCTGACGAATATGATTGACGAGGTTGCTTCGGAGAATATTTTTACTGTCTAGACTGTCGATAATTGCAGCCGACGGCATTCTTTCTTTCATTGAACGCTCTCTTGCTATTAATTCTTAATTCGCCATTAATTGCTAATAACATCTGCCATCGTCTCAAATTCCGGAGTTCTATTCTCATATCTATACATTTGTTTTCAAATTTAAATTCAAATAAGGAAACTAGATTAACGTCAAGATCATATTAATCTAAATTTTGTTACTACAATTAGTAACTGTTTATTTTTATTTTAAATACGGGTTTCAATAAAAGCGTCGTGATGGATATGAAAAAATGTCTACATATAGCGTAATAAAAAATGAGATAGATCCGTGTAAATTACATTAAGATTGCTAACTGAGTTTCTGCTTTTTTTAAAAATCATATCTTGCCTGTATCTTCTCATCTTTCCCTTATCTATTCCAATCTTTGTTGCCTGTTCATGTTTTATCATTTATTCATGATTTTATTCCACAGACCAGTTTTATATGCGAAAACTGAATAATCAATAAACAAATATGTTATTTAATTCACCCTTTCCTTCCATATTTTTCTCTATCTAGATCGAAATAATTTTCATGTACCACAATACCTCCCTGGTTTCCAATCTTTCGATCATTATCTATCTATCTATCTATCTATCTATCTATCTATCTATCTATCTATCTATCTATCTTCCTTCCTTTCTTCCTTACTTCCCCGTCTCTCTTTCATATGTGTGTCATCCGTCGATTTCGAAAGACCACATGGATGTGCGCCCAAAAGTTATGCCTCAGCTGCTGGTGGCGGTACAGCATCTTCTTATGGCTGTACAGGCCCACATGGGAGTGACTGTCTTGATTGCAACCAACACACGTGAAGACGAATGTCGCTATTTTGTTTATCTTTCTATCGAGCACACTTCACCCCGGCGGCAAGCCACCATTCATTCTCTCCTCACACACACAATTTGAGAACTCTAATAAATTTTTATCAGGTTAGCCGAAAATTCAAGTTAATTTCTCTCGAAATTTAATATCTACTCAGTTTCGTAGGTACTCTTACTCAGTTTTAGTGGTTACTCTTGTCAAAGTAGACGCTCTATTTATGTATTAAACAGTATATTTTCGTTTACCGGTCTGAATATTCGAGAAAATTTGAAATATGCGCTCTGCGGCAGGATTCTAAACCATGCGTCTCCCAGGGCAGAGAGGAGCGTCGTTAGAACCGATGGGCTTTTAATTGGCTCGGCCACGAAGAACTTTTACAGATCAAGCAAGGGTGATTAGTGTCTTTAAGCGAAATCCTCCCCGTTAGAGATTCCCGAAATTTGATATCCATTCAGTTTCATATCCAAGCGTAAACAAACCAATTTCTAAAGAAGTAAAGGATTTTTTTATTTATTAATCCGACAGATTAAAAAAATAACGTTTGAGCACTCAAACGTTATTTTTTTAATCTGTCGGATTAATATTTATATATATGTGTGTGTGTCTAAATGTGTGTGTGTACATGGTGAGAGAGAGAGAGAGAGAGAGAGAGAGAGAGAGAGAGAGAGTGAGAGACACTAGTTAATCAATAGATATTCAATGAACCTATCTCGTTGCAAGTCCTTAACGTATTGATAAGGTCAACAGTATTTTTATCCAAAAAGTGTTAAAACGATAACTAGAGGGACAACTGCCAGATTCCGGAATCTTGCGTAACCCAGCTTTCAATCAAAAATACGTTTCTATTTAAATGACCCACAAAAGGTTGATAAACCATAAAAAACAAAGTAATGACTTGATTATCTTTTTCCTCGCTTTTTCTAACTATATACCACTTCACATTATGCGTGACGGATTACTGAAAAATTCTCTGCTCGACCAAGTATCTAGGAAAAAACATCAGATCTTTTTTTCTGTTTTAGGGAAGAAGGGTGGGCCGAGAACTTTTCAGCACGTGTAGTGTTGCTTGCTAGAAAGCATAACACATTCTAGTTCAGAAGTGATGTTGATTGAACACATTGTACATTTAATGCAAAATAGAAAAGCATAATGGCTGTTGCGATAAACAGCTACTTATTCGTGCATTTTACTATTATTCGCCAGAGGTTTTGATAAAAAAAAACTGCTTATTTTAACAGTCAGATGTTCTTCGACTTGGATGTTGAGATAAAAAAACCCAGTAATAAGATCAAGAAAGAATTGGTTAAAATCAAATAATGAAAATACTCAATCTTATATTCAAATAATATCTATCTATCTATCTATCTATCTATCTATCTATCTATCTATCTATCTATCTATCCCTTCCTTCCTTTCTTCCTTATTTCCCCGTCTCTCTTTCATATGTGTGGCATCCGTCGATTTCGAAAGACCACATGGATGTGCGCCCAAAAGTCATGCCTCAGCTGCTGGTGGCGGTACAGCATCTTTTTATGGCTGTACTGGCCCACATGGGAGTGACTGTCTTGATTGCAACCAACGCACGTGAAGACGAATGTCGCTATTTTGTTTATCTTTCTATCGAGCACACTTCACCCCGGCGGCAAGCCACCATTCCTTTTCTCCTCACACACACACACACACACACACACACACACATATATATATATATAAAGAAAAACAAAAAGAAAACTTATATTAGACGTTGTGTTTTTTCATCTGACTTGGATGTTGAGATAAAAAACCAGTAATAAGATCAAGAAAGAATTGGTTAAAATCAAATAATGAAAATACTCAATCTTATATTCAAATAATTTGAATATATTACGAGGGAGTAAAAATTAAATAATACATATGGATTTTGAAAGGCGAGAAACAGGAAATATGTCTGCCTCATTTAGCCATCAGTTTTTCCATTATAACAACGGCCGGCGCGGCTTGATCCTGTGTCGTTCCCATGTTGGTCAGCACTGTCGCCGGTCAACTTTCCGCTTCGTTCCTTAATCTGCTTCTGTTCCACGTTGTGTTCCTTGATTGCAGAGCAGTGAAGATCGAATTTCGTCCGTACTTGACCGCTGGATCAGGCCGCAGCGGAATCGTGCTACAAAAGGACACAGGACGCTTCCGTTGGCGAAAATAAAAATAGCATAACAAAATAACGAAGAAGATTGAAGGATTAATTTTCAATTGGTTTATATAGTCGTTGATACAATAAAATTAACCCTTGTTAAACACTTTATATTGAAACTTCTTTTCCTTATAAAACTTGGAGCGGTTTTAAAACAATACAACAAGGTAAGGTCACAACAGTGTCACACCATGACCAAGGTTTTGTTAAAGCCTTGTACTATATAAAAGTGCAAAAGTAGGTATACAGTAACCAAAACGTTTACACAAATCATATTGCATTTATTATATATTTCTACGTATTGTATTGATTTAAATACTGTATACCTAGAGGATAGCGGCTCAGATTGTGGAATCGGAGAGCCGAGTTCGATTTCCAGCCGAATTAATTACATTCACTTACGTGCTAATACCCTTGGGTAAGGTATGAATCCTCTCCTCCACCTAGCAATAAATAGCAGAACTGACCAGGTTTCTATAGCCTTGAATGGCAACTGGTCTACCGCAGAAAGAAATGGTAACCTATTGCGGAAAAATCTACCTCGTCAGTCATCCATCGAATGATACATGATCGCCTATGTTGCAGTTTTTTGGATATATGTATTAGTGAGCCAGTCAAAATGAGTTGACTCATTTTATATTCCACCAAGAGAAGGGTTAACCAATCACAAGACGTAAAATATTCAATCCGTCGTGTATAAAGGCGGCCATTTTGTTTTACCTACCCGAATGTCCAGTGCCAGCTTGTCAGGCGAAGATGAACAGAAGGAAGATCTATGCTCTGCTACTTTACCGGGATATCCACTGCTAACCTGAACTACGCTTCCCTACTGTCTTCGAAATATTCACTACTAACCTCTGGATTCTATACTCAAAGACGACCGTCATCATGAACAACAGCCTAAGCGTGTATCACGCATGGAACATAACTGACTGACTGTATACCTAGTTTTGTAGGCCTTTATATATCATATAACCTAGAGTATAGGATACCAGTTCAAGGCCTGCTTCATTTAATAGTCGGTGGGTATCATATTTATAAATGTGATCATTATAAAACGAACTTTTTTTTTACTTCTTTTCCAACCATTTATGGCATCCATAACTGTACCAAGTTCTTTTATTCCGGCGTCGTCACTGACTTGAACGATGAATGTTCTTGCTTGATTTTGATAAAGAACGTCTTGCTTACTTCTTAAACAATGGCCACAAAACCACAGTCGCCTCCGTCATGTTTCGCTAATTCCCATATGTTCTCCATTAGACATCTATTGTTACCAGCTTGTATTTATCGCTGGTCTCAGTAGTCGAATATATGTATCGTCTATTGTTAATGTCCAATTAATTAACCTGTAAAAAAGTTTCAAAGTTTATTCTTTTTTACAGTCAGGTTAACCCTGTACAAAGCCTGGGAGCCACTCTAGGTAGACTGTTACAGTAAGAGGCAGGTTATCCGGGTGGGAGGGGAAGATAACGGCTAACTCTATAATTCAACAGATTCAGATTGTAGTGATCGGGGAAACAACATCTATGGAGTCGGTTCCACAGAGCAGGATATCGCGGAAGAAGCTGTTCACATGGAACGTTCTTCTCACCAAAGGAATACGGAGAAAATGAGTGTTATTTGCTACAATATGAGTAGCGTGGCGGTTTCTAGACGTGAAGATTAGAACTGGTGGAACTAACGAATGTAGTTCGTCCGAGCACTTTCCATGGAAGTAGCGATAGAACAGTGAAAGATTTGCCACATACCACCCGTGAAAGAGAGGTTGGAGGATTTGTTAACGTTTTACTTCAATATGGTGTTTAATATTAAAAGTTCTGTTCATTAGAGTTTTTATGCTTTTCGATTTAAATATATTAAAGATAAGCTTTGCTTAGTTTTGTAAATGAGAAAATAAGAGTGTGATAGTTTCTCGTGATTTCTTATGTCAAATCGAGATGACCTGGATGTCATGTAAACATCAGTTTTAAAAAGAAAGCAGACCGAAAACTCTATATTGAAAGGTCACCAATATCAGGGACTAGCACCTCTAGGATATAAAATACTACAGTATTCAATTTAACTTTCTCTAACTGCTGTGTAGTCTGAAAAAAAAATGGCCACTACAATGGGACAGGAGGATTGAACTCAGTCGCTAAGATAGTGTAGACTAGCTTGTTAATGGCCATTCACTCATCACCTCTTGATAACGGCGAACGTATAAAAAAAAATCACCCGACCTATTCAGTCAGCAATGGCACTGAAAATAATGCGATAAAGGCAACAAAGTTTAACGAAAAGCCATAAAATCTGATATATGCAGAAATTAATATTGATATGAAAGTTCTAAGCATCGTTAAGACAACCGAAGTTGTTAGCTACGTCTTGGGGGCATCAAAATCGAGAGAAATTTATTTTTTTTGTTTGATTTTATTTAGCAGCATATCAACACGTCTATGGGTAATTAATACCGAAATCTATATATTTTCAACACAATTGCTCCAACTAAATATATTTTGAACGCAATTGTAGGTTTTAATCTACAGATAAAAAGTATTGTTGGTCCTTTTGCTATAAAAAATATTGTTGGTCATTTTACTATAAATAGGTGTTGTTTTACTATTAATAGGAATTGTTGGTAACTTTACTATAAATAGGTGTTGTTGGTAATTTTACATTACATATATACTATTGTTAATTTTGCTTTAAATATGTATTGTTGGTAATTTTACTATAAATAGATATTCTTGGTAATTTTACTACAACTAGTTAATGTTAGTAATTTTACATGAAATATATACTATTGGTAATTTTTCTTTAAATATGTGTTGTTGGTAATTTTACTATAAATATGTATTGTTTGTAATTTTATTGTAAATAGGTAATGTTGGTCATTTTTTACAATAGTTATGTTGGTGTTTTTACTATAAAAATGTATTTTTTTACTTTCATAGTGTTGTTTTTGTATTGGGGTTCACTATTTGCCGATAGCTGGGATCCTAACAGGTGCTACCACCCCCAGATCTGGGTGGAAATAGGAACAACAGCAGTTCAGAGGTCGCTCCAAACTCCCGTTTAGAAAGCTTGCTGGCGGATGTAATTTATCGACAACAGAAATTTAACTGAGTATTGTAGTAATAGACAGTGGTAAATTCGGCAAAGAAATCCGAAAACACATAGGAATAGCGGATGATGCCTTACAGAAACTAAGTAAAGTATTAAGAGGCAGGAAAAAGTCTACGAAAACACAATAATGCTGAACTAATATGTGGAGTAAAAGATAGCAATTCGAATTGAGGAAGGCTCATATCAGGTTGTAAGTACTTATTCCCACACGATCGCCGAAGTTATGCAACGTCGAGCCTAGCCAGTAACTAGATGGTTGGCCATTTGGGAATACCAGGTGCTGGATTGTATGTATAGGTGGGGTAATGGATAATGGCTTGGAACTGTTAATCGAACAGTTGGCTTCGTTATATTCATTTACACGCAAATAATCTTGGGAAATGTATGAACCCACTTTTTCTCCCTTGGCGATACAAGTCTTACTAATAGTAAGACATGTATCGCTAAATCATTATTATCTCAACAAAAATTTCTTACAATTTTCTGCCTTTAAACAACCTCTAAAGGGTTGATAAGCCGTAGAACATGAATCGATCAAAATCGGATTGAGGAATCGGAGAGCCGAGTTTGAATTACAATCGCGTTCATTATATTCACTTACGAGCAAGGAAATGTATGAATCTATCTCTCCATCGCCCACCACCTATCGGTAAAGAGCAGGACAGATTGGGTCCTACATCCGTGCGTGGCAACCGATCTACGAGAGGGTCAACACTGAATATACCAACCAGCCAAGCGTGGTGAGGACGGCTACATCCCGGAAGACATTGTCAGTCAGGAAGTGCTTTTTCCGAGGAGTGAGGAGGTCTGGATTTGTTCTAAAAAGCTTTAATCCCCGGCATATTTTATTATGCAATAACTAATCTCCTAAACGCTAACAACTGCTGGAAAATCTCTACATAGGAAGAAGAGATTCGAAGCGAGAATGATGTGCAGATGATACCATGTGCTGAACATGTATTCAATGAGTAAGAAAAATAGGAACTAAAAGAAAACTTCTACTTACAATCAGAAAGAGATTGTCGCCGTTTCTTGGTTACAAAATGGGGAAAGGACTGAGCGAATTAAACACTGACTGGTCATAATGAAGTCCAGAAAAACAGAAGCGAGAGCGTATAAACCATTAAGGTTGTCTTTTTGAGAAACGGTGGCAGAGCAAAGACATGGCGACAAAGACATGTATGGTAGAGGGTCAAAAGTGACGTCGAGCAACAAAAAACAGAATCTGTGAAGAGACACGATGAAGACTTAGAGAGGGACATTGAAACTCTTAGACTGGCGTTACAGAATCACAAAGAACTGTACTAAATAACAGAAACCACATAACTTGTGGACTTTCAACCGTAACAGCTAAAATGGAGAGCATATGTAACTCGACGAGAAAAAAAGAATGACATTATGAAGATGGCGACGTTCCACACAAATAAAAAACAAAAAAGTTTGGAATGAATCCTCCCATCCAGCAAAATTAGAAAGTGCAATAACTGTGAGGGACTTAATAAACTTATTTTTTTGAAAATTCTTTTAGTAGGAAGATTTTATAAATTTTAACCGACAGTAGCACTGGCTATTCGGTCAACTGAATGCCGAATATGGCCTTATAAGAAAACTGCTAATATAACTGTTGTGGATTCCGGGGATGGAATCCTGCACAAATAAATAAACAACGCTAGTAATTGAGATAGAAAAATAAGTGTATTCAACGTAAGAATACAGACTTGAAGTGAAGATTAGTAGTCCAGTAATGCGGGTTAGTAGAAAGTATATGTACAAGTCTCTGTAAGTAAAGCCGTAATCATCTCTCTCTCTCTCTCTTTCTCTCTCTCTGGACACTTGTATAACTCTCTGAGAACACCCTGTGTTTGTCTCCGTATCTCTTAACTTGTCTCCACGTATCTCCACGTATCTCAAACGTATCTCAACAGCAGGTATTCTCTCTGTCAGTATAAGTATACTTTGAACGAGTCCATCTTATGTAAAAAGGGGAGAGCCCCACAACACTAACCATTACTGTTAGCATGTGCTGAAGGGACAGAGTACATAAAAAAGAAGCCTTTAATTCTTCAAAAAGGTTTTTGTAAGAACTTCAAAATAGAGTAGAGACATATATTCCATGCAGGAATTTTGAAATTATATAATTTGGTGATTATCGAAATTATGATTGGTTTTGTGCGGTTAAGTGTATTTTTTTAAAATCATTTCACCCTAAGCAAGACAATAAAGCCACTAACACCCAAAGGGGTTGCTAAGATAATATGAGAAAAACTACTACTTAGGATAGAGGACAATAAAAGAATAAGAAGATAACGATTGGCATTGCATTTAAATTATTGAATATCAAACTTGACTGTGAAGAAGAGAGTTGCATAAGCGAGAAGAAACTGTAAACATAGAACTTACGGTTACATCTAGCTATTTCAATTGTGAAATAATAAGATCCTACCGCCAATCTTCTATTGCGATTAAATTCATAAAGTCTATGTATCATAGAGAAAACTTCATGAGAGCATTTCTACAAAAGACAGACGGAAGTTACGTTAAGATGGTGGAAAGGGACTGAAGACTGAAGATGGGGATGCTAGGTCAGGACGAAGAAAACATAATATTCTTCTTTGGACTTTATCAAGAAACTCTAAATATATAGGAAGTGTGACAGCGATATTCAAATCGTATTGTTTCTATGGAGCAGTTAATGGATTCATTAAACCAATATAATGTTTTGTCCGTATAACCAATACATTTAGTGGGTAGAGGTGGTTGAGTTAGATATCCCCGTTTTATTTTTAATTGCCATTAACCTAAGTGGACCAATTACGGCAAAACAAGGTTCAACTACTGTCGAAGGCCCAAGTTATAATTTTGACTATGTGAAAAGATTATAAACAACATTTCTGTTTTTATATCCTCCTTCCCATGTGTATTTACAGAAACCTCACTTTAGTCAGATGAAGTCTTAAAGGATTGAAACGCGTTACATAAATTTATTTCCAGCTTTGTCATTAATTTTCCTGATGAGCATATACAATTTGGGTAATTGTGTTTTATCTTTGACGTAATGACTTCTTATAGTTTAATGGTAGAACACACTTGTCTTGAAAGATGTTTTCTAGATTCAAAATGAACTGCTGGATTGATTTCTGTCGAGAGACACATTTTCTTTTGTTGGACTTTCGATCTCAAGGGCAGTAGATAAGGACGTCTACTTAAACTTGTACCCTCCAAATTTAACGTTTGTAGTAAAACTGTTATATTCCAGTTTTTCTAGTAAAAAAATCCTAATGTCTCCACCTGTGTGGTGAGTTCTTGTAATTCTAATTCAGACTTTTATTTCTTTTATCTTCGCTATTTTTGTTCTTAAAACCTTTCGGTTAATCCATTCTATAATCGTCTTCAGATTTCCAATTTGATTTGAAAGACGGGGCTTTAAAACAATCAGAGGAAACCATGAATTGAAAATCCTAAACCAACTCATTATGCCAAACATCAAATATTCAATATTTTATACATGCGATCGTTGTTCTGTATATTCCCTTCGTAACAAATAAATACATATTACACTTAAAAAAAAAAACAACAAAAAAACATTGATTGTATTCATACTTTTATCCGCAAGGCTAATGTACGCAACTTCCTTCATTTTTCTCAGCATCCATAAATACTTCTATTATTACTTCAGATATATCAGGTTTTTATAGTCCATCTTTGAATATATTTTTCTATGTACCTTGCGTTTGATTTTAGCGGCAAGATGGTTTCTCCTTTACATGTCTACTACATGTGTCTAGAATGTTACAACTATAGTTGTTGGTCATCCATTTCTCTGGTGGTTAAATGAAGAAACTACACGTTGCGAAGTCGGGAAGTAAGAAGTGTATACTATGAGGATATGTCGGATAGATAACTGTTATCCTTAATATCTTAATGACGGGGAAGTATCATCACGGGAGTCTATTCAACAAACTAACAGTTTTGGGGAAGAATCTAGCCCTAGCTGTGAAGTTCTGAACTGTTGAAATTAAGAATATTGCCATGAAAGTTGCAATAGAGTAGTGGGAGTAGAGGCTTGCAACGTTTCGTCTGGAGGCGAGGGGAGTTTGTAGAGTGGAAAATAATTTATTGCCTACGTAGACGATTTTGAAGTCAAACCTGGAAAATGGAGATTCAGCAGCTCCAGCCCATATATGGTTGGCAATACTCTATTTTTTTATCTGATTTGATTCTTGTAAGGAAAGTGTATGACAGGAAGAGTCAGACATTTCTGGAACTTTACAAGGAACTGGCCATTTTCCCCAACATCTTTACGATGGATTGTATATTTTAGCCAGTTTTTGAAAAATCTCTTAACATCTTTTATCGAATCATAACGTGAATGTTTCCTTTATGATAGAACACACATTATAGCCATAATAGGTTATAAAATAGGATTGATTCGTTTTCTATGGATTATCAACCCTTTGCAGGTTATTTAAAGCCAGGAAATATTTTTACATGGTAAGAAGTTTTTTTCGATAATTATGGCTTAGGGATACAAGTCTTACAAATTAACTCATATTTGGGAGAAGGGTTGGATTCATACATTCCCAAGAATTTTTACGCGTAAGTTTATATAACGAACCCAACAGGAACACGATTCTCGGATCAACAATTTCGAGACATTATCTATTACGCCATCCACGCATTCACGCTTACAACACCTGCTATTCCTAAGCGTCCCACCCCCATCTAGTTACTGACCAGGTACGATATTGCTTAACTTTGATGATCGTACGGGAACCGGTAGTTTCAACGTGATGATGCCGTAAACCCCGTTATAAAGCAGCAGAAAACCAGCAATAAACATATATGGTTGAATAAGAATGCTATAATTATTTTTTAGATGTTCACCGAAATTTATATGAAGTTAAAGCTTTTTGAGAACCATATTTCTTGTATCAGCCTAATAGAATACAAAAGTTTAAATAAAGTTAGAATAAATACGGCCAATGAAATGGAAATCACTGAATAATGGTGTCGCATTTTAAGTTATATGAATAAAATGTGAAAAAAAAATGAAGGAAATTTAATATTTTTAATCTGCTGTTAATTTTATTTAGTTCGGCGCTTGTACCTTCGATTTGTTTGATTTTGTATCGATCCCTGCCGATATTTTTTGCTTCACCTTCCTTTGCAACTTCAAGATACCTCGAGGCCGTTATTATATAGTCGTCTTTTTTTCCACATCGAAATGTTCTAATTCTTGCGATATGTCAACTGTCATTTAGTTTGGGAGCTGAATACATTCTTTTG